GCTAAATATATAAAATCCCACTTGCATGAGATTAAATCTAACTCCTTTTCTTTCAGCAAGTTTTAATTCATGATCATACCTTCAAGATGGGTCTGCGGGAATTACAACACATGTATTCAACGAGAGTCTCGTTATCTTCAAGCTTATCACCATGGTGAAAACTACAATCATATAGTCGTTAATTTTGGGACAAAAAAATGAACGCAAGTTCTTCAGAACATCTTTTTATATACTTGAAAAGCGATATTCAATTGACAGAACAAGAACAATAGCATCGAGACCATCAGTTGCCAAATCGGTGCATCTAGCAAATTCCTTCCCAATAGAAAAACCCAATGATCCTAGTAAGTGCATGTATCTAATTAAGTCAGGCATGTTTGAACCAATAAATAACATATATATGCTAAATTAGATGATTGAAATCCTAATTTGCTTTGGTTCTTGCCTAACCACCCCCTCCCACAAAAAAAAATTCCTATTTTCATTTTATATTGTTACACCCCTAATTTTACTTTTCTATTGTTTATTAGTTATCGAGATAACATCACCTTTTACCCTTTCTTTTCTAGTATGCAGCAACATTCAACACCAATGTGGTCCAGAAGTTTGTGTTAATTTCCTTTAGATCATATGCCTAACTATGAAGATTATAATAGGTTTTTGCTTGCTATGAAATGAATTAATACGAACATATCTGATTAAGAGTGTTAAAGAAAAAAATAACATGTACCTGGAGTATCAATCACAACAAGATTCTGTCCATTTTCTAGTTGAGTTGTTTGCATCTCACAAGTTTTGGTAGCACCAAAAATGGTATATTTCGACTTGAATGCATTTCTTCCAAGAATACTGTTCCCCGTTGCACTTATCCCAGAACCTAATTGTCCTACTAATACTATAGTTTTAACCCCGGTTGAAGGTGACGAGGACTTAATTTGAACCCCAACATGCACAAACAAATATACAAACATATATAAGTTTTCAACTAAATGGCAGAAATGGCTTTTAAAGTGCATATATATATATATATGTATATATATATATGTATGTATATATATATATATATATATATATATATATATAAACACACACACACACACACACTTACTAATTACGCAAAAGCACATCGGCGGCTTACTACTATTTGATCAGATTGCTGCCTCTGATTCTCAATCT